CGTGCAAATGACTGTAATTTTGCAGACAAGAAACAGCCCAAAGTGAAACGTGTCTAAACAGAGGTCGATTTGAAAAATCAGGGCTATTACCTAAATCTGTAAAATACATATTGTAATAAAACCAGCAACAGCAATCTCCAATAAGTAGTTTTTAAAAATGTAGCTTGTGTTTTGATCTTCTTTATTCACCCAGTCTCCACTAGCATAAAAGAAAAATCCTTTTTCAGAAATGGTTTCATTACACGAGATGTAAATTGCTTCACTTTGCAAACCGATCCCTAGACCTTGCTGGAGCACCCTTGCAGATAGAGTAGCACACCCCACACCGCAAGGGCCAGAGCCAAGCAGGGCTATGATTTCAGACACTTAACACTGACCTACATTACAGCTCTCTCGCTGCAAGCAATATACAAATGTTTTCCTTTAAAAGAATGTGCTGTTTTGCAATATTTTGCTAGGATCTCTAGCACTGAAAAGCAAGAAAAGGACACAATCTGCTGCTTTTTCTTTTCGATTATTTTAAGGTGTAAGGTTGGAGAAAGAAAGGAGGAATTGTGTAAATGTGTAGAAAGAAACATCACCTTCTTTAACTTTTTTTCCTTTCTTTTCTTCCTTGCCTTCTCTCCTTTCTTTTGAAGTGATGGGGAAGGAACTCTGGGCCTCTACATGCTGTATTCGGCAAGTGCTCTACTGTCGAGTACTCTTAAAATTTGTCATAATCTTAAATTAGGGATGCGATATTTGCTTTATATCACTTTGATTTTCTTAAATTATACTGCATTATAAAGATTTTTCAAGACAGTCCTTATTGTCTCACCTTTGAATGTAGGGCTCCTCCTTTTTTACATTCTTAAGTGATATAAAGTAAAGGTGAATTAGTAGGACATAAAAATGACCCAAAAAGTTGATCTAACAATGTTTCATAATGTGTGTAAATATCTATATTTGTGAAATGTATACAGAATGCCCAAGTGCTTCTAGACGGGAAACATCATGGGTGTCTTTCTCTGATGACCCTTGCTGCCCCAGCAGGTCCTGAGGTGTTTAGGCGTGTAAGATCCTTTCTCTCCCCTGTAGACCAGTTCCTCGGTATTTTATCTTGACTCAGTGATACTGTAGGATAGTGCAAACATCCAATGTTTGCCTAAGAATACTGCTCATCTCTTTTTGATGGCAATGATCCAGAATGAATATTGTTAGATGTACTCCACTTGAATTAAATTTTGTGTGCTAATGTCAAAAAGGAGAGAAAGTTTTTCTACATATTCTTTAGCAAATAGGAAGTTAAGCTATTAATTGTAGGTAAAAAGAGTGAAGACCTTCTAGTGATTGTGTGGGTGTTTAATAAATCACCAACTGTACCTTCTCTAGAAGCAGAGCAGGTGGTCTGCCCACTACTTTAAGGCCGACCACTGTATAACAACCCTAGACTGATAAAGATCTTTCTCTACTGTCTTTTTAGGTAGGCAGTCAGTGTGATTCTCATTTTGACTAAACTGAATTCTTCTTATCATAGAATTTTTTTAAGACAAGTTCTCACTATGCGGTTCAAGGTGCTCTTGACATCATTATACAGTAGCACAGGCTGGCCTTGAATTTGTGGTGATCTTCTTGTCTCAGCCTGCCCAGGGCTAGGATTACAGGGATGGGCACTGCCATGCCCAGCCATTTACATAGGATTTTTTTAAAACTTTGTTTACCATCTTTCCCCTTGGTCTTGAGTAGATATCAAGTATTGATATTGGCATAGATTTAGCAAAGCTAAACCCATGAATAGTTTTGAGAAGAAATAAAAACTCAAATGATTTCTGGTTCTTAATGATATATCCCAAATAGGAGAAGATAACCACAAATAAAGACCATCATGTTTCTCTGTGTATGTGCTTGAAACCCTTGGCCTCCTCTACATTGAGCAATTCTGTCTTTAAAAAGGAGAAAGTGTCTCCTCCTTTCGTAGGAACTGATTGCTTTGTAAATGATACCAGTATGTGCTAGATAGAGTTGATCTTGGCGTCCAGGGTCAGAGGTGCTTGTAGCTATTGAAGGTAAGAAAACTGTGCCTGTTACACGGTCTTCACGCTTTTCCCACCCATCATTTTCATAAATTATCCTCATTGCAGGCCTTCCCTCCTTTCTACCACATCTCTGAAGAGAAATGCACTAAAATGTAAAATTACAACATACTGGTACTCCTCAAGTATAAGGATATGAATATTAATATAGAGAAGAGTATATTCCCGGTTATCTTGGTGGCTTAGTTACTTTTCTTGTTGCTGAGACAAAATGCCTGGCACCCAAAGTTTTTTTTTTTTTTTTTTTTTTTTTGGTACCGGGGTTTGAACTTGGGTCCTTGCTCTTGTGAGGCAGGACACCAAACCGCTGAGCTAAATTCCCAGCCCATGACACCCAAAGTTAAAGGAGAAAAAGTTTGTTGTAGCCCACAGTTTGTACAGGTTTCAGTTGGGTGGCTCTAAGGCAGGGTGACATAGCAGAGGGACTTCACAGAGGAGAGAGTCCATGGTGAGCAGTCAAGAGGCAGCAAGCAGCAGTACCGGCTCTGCCTTCTTTCTGTCTAGGCTACAAGCTTATTGCTTGGTGCCCCCGACCCACCTCCAGGTCCAGCACCCTTAATCACAGCATCACACCCGTATCCACATTCACACACCCTAAGCCAGCCATCTTTGAAACTGCACATCCATGACTAAATGAGGCTCTGGGAGGGGCATCTAGATAAAAAACTGTAACACTAGAAATTGAAATTTTCACCTTCATAAATAGTTGAAATGCTTGAGAGGCTGAAGCAGGAGGATTGCCATGAGTTCAAGGCCAGCCTGGGCTAAACAGCAAGACATTGTCTCAATAACAAACAAACAAACAAACAAATGGGGTTGAATGTTGCAATTTTACCGGGGAAGTAACTCTGCTTTCAAAGCCGGTAGTTAATTATCTTAGTTTCAGTCATCAGTTAGCTGATGTCTTTTGATTTCTCTTGATTGGCTCCTTTGTCAAACAAAACAAAACAAGCACAGCCAAACCAGCACAATAACACTGGTTTATCTAAAAATTTCCAGGAGAACTTTGAGAGGTAGGAAATGGGGAGGGGTCGGTGTAACTGGAATGTGGAGATGTTAGAATGCAAACAAATGCTTTAATTTACCAAAATGGCTTGAGTTAAATATGTGCTTGAGCTGGGCATGTTTTCATTCTTCAGCCAGTGAAGTTTATCAAAAAGGCTTAAGATACTAGGTGTTAGGGCTGGGGATGTAGCTCAGGGGTGTCACGCCTGCCTTATAAGCGAAAGGTCCTGGGTTCAGTTCCTGATACTGGAAAACAAAAACAGAAACAAAAACACCCTAAAAAACAAGATACTAGGTGTGGAAGCTGGGGCTGGATGATTATTTGAATGTTAGGATGCTTTCACTTTGGTTTTGGTTATACTAGGTCTGTGCTGCAGAAAGCAGATTTGCTTCTATGAAGGGGACTGTGTTGTAGAAGATGCCACTCAGGAAATCTCTTTTTGAACATCCCTTTCGAAGTTTTGTTATTCTAAGGGCCAACTATTGATTTCTCTAAGCTTATGTAACATATGGCATAACCATGAGTCCCCAAAGGCTGAAATGTAGACGACGCCCCAGGGACACAGGAAGTGTGCAGGAGTGATCTGGTCCTTGGAGAAACCACTCTTCTAAAAGAGAAAAGTTAAGAATCACCATATGGTGCTGTGTTATTATTAATGGGCCATCCAGAATGTAAAACCTGTACATTTCAAAATATAAAACAAACATCAAAGCTAAGATGAAGGATAAATTGATATTAGGTACCAAATTCCCATTTTATCTGTGCACAGCTTTGAGTACGAATGGAGTGAGAGAGAATTAAGGACTATTACAGAATGCATTCCTCTGGTTTGTATACTCCAATAAAGGGTGGAAACTACTGTTTATGACTTTTTGCAACATCAAGTCTAGTTCATCCAGGGTAGTGAAACAACTAATTGGTAATTTTTTAATGGCCTAAATATATTAAAAGCCCAAATGAGTCAATAGCTATTACTTAAAACATGTGACATAAATATTGTATTGATCCACAAAATCATCACTGAATATTTTACATCATGCTAACACCAATTCAGTGTGTGCCCATTGGCCCAGCAAAGAAATGTTCTTATATCCCAGTTGTCATGTGCAAATTACAATCCCAGTGGCACAGGATCCCTCAAACTTGAGATCATGATGCTTTCAATTAAATTCAGAAAGCACCCATTAGCTTTAAGTTTTCAACATTATAGGTCTTTAAAATAATGGGAAATAAACCTGAAAAAATTTTAAATAAAATGTACTCTAAAAGCTTAATACATACATAGATACATTAGCATAAATATATTGGCAACTTGTTATTCCATATTAACCTCTCTGTCCTGTGACATGAATCCCATTAACTGGTTACATTTGTCCCACAACGGATTCCGAAACATTTTGTTTTTATGAATTGCAGATGTAGCAGTCAGAAGACCCTTACCCCCACCCCCATACAAACTTCGTTAAACATTTGGGGAGAGGAATTTTGACAATTCAGATTGTTTAAAAACGAGAAGGTTTAAGAACGGAGACGGGCTGTTTCAGGGGTTAATCTTCCTAGTACATTTTATCTCCCATAAATCGAGTTTTTTAAAAAAATGAGCCTGGCCTGAGGTGTTAATATGGTTGGCCCGGGCCTGATTTTGCTTTATTTCTTTGGAGCCGCCTAAGACCAGGTGGGGAGGTTTGTTACTAATTTAACGGAAGAGCCCTTCCCGTTCTGTTGGCTAACTGATCGCTGGTTCTCACTTCAGTGGTTGTAGACCCGAAAACTGGAAACTAAGGGGTTACTTAGGCTG